GCTCTTCCAAAGGTCCTGAGTTCAATTCCCAGCAACCACATGGTGTGGCTCACAACCATCTGAAATGAGATCTGATGCCCTCTTTGGCCTGCAGGCATACACACTGACAGAATATTGTATACATAATAAATAAATAAATATTTAAAAAAAAAAAAGAAAGAAAGAAAGAAAAAGATTGTGTGTGTTCCAGACACAACCAGAATCCCCCCTCCCCCGCCCCACTCCAAGTTGCTCTAGAGAAGGAGAAAATTCTAGGCTCCTCAACTGTGTCACCACATCTAGCCAGTTCTCCCAGGTGAGCCCTGTGCTGCTGGGCTCCGTGGTAAAGGGCCCCTCTAGGGTGGCCAAAGTCGGGGTGTGGTTTCTAGCACTACTAAAAACTGTGTACACAGCCAGACTCTAACCAGTTCCCACCTTCTGACCCTGGCCAGGCCTTGGGCCTCTCAGACAGCATTGGAGAAAATCCTAGCAAGGCCCCTTGTCGTTGGAAGAAGCAACTCGGGATGTTGTCTAAGCTGTTCCTTTTCTGGTTTCTAGAACTTTCTGTAGGAAGTTGAAATCCTGTTCCACCGTTCTGTAGCTCCTTCATTATTTCCCTCTTCTAAGGGGTAGATAGAATTTTTTTTCTTCTCTCCTAAGTTTGAGAAACGTTTAGGATTCCTAGCAGCCCTTATGCAAATCTGTTAACATCTTTCCTCCTTCCCTCGCTCCTTTCCTGGTGTGTCCCCCCACACACCCTTTTTTTCTTTCCTTCCTGCTCTCATTTGATTGCATTTCTGAGTGCTGGTGTTTGTGCTCCTGAACTGAGCACCCAGGGTGTGACCTGGTGCTGAACTCACAGACTTGTTGAGCAGACACAGGAAACCATCACAGCCGGGTTGCTTTGATGGAGGAGCATGAGGTGCTCTTAGGAGAGAGGAAAATCTGAAGCCCCCACCCTTTAAAAGAAGGGACCAAGACTCGGAGAGGGGAAGCTCCAGTACCCACTTCCGAGAATCACGTTCGTCCTTCAAGCTTACTCTCTAGTAAAAACCTACCCTTGGGCCCCAGAGGATCTTAAAATTGGTGAGCACTCCATTTGTATGACATCAAAGCAGGGGGAGATGCTGGGCAAGCTAAGCAGACAGCAGCCTGTCAAAGCGCCTGGCTGAAGCCCAGTCAAAGCGCGTCCTACACGGCTGGCTGTGGCAAGCCTGGGCTCGTTCTTATTCAGTGCCCCCGAGAAGCGTGAGCTGAAGGGCAAAGAGTCCTAGACCTGGCAGGAATCCTCACAGAACTGTCCACTTGTTCTCATCATGGTTCATGTACCAACTCTGCTTTCATACGAGGCTTTGTTAGCATGTGTTTGGTTTCCTGGCAGTGGTTCGAATTCCACACGGAGACCCAAAGCCTGAAATGGGCGCATGCGCAAGAGATCTCCGTGCTGAGACAGGTACTTCCTCAAACTCTCAACCAAATCGCTCCTGTTCTACTGGCTCTTGCTAAGAGTAGCTTTCACACGTTTCTGGAAAGTCTTGAAATGGTTGTACATTTCTACCTCTGTAACACAGATGGATCTCTTAAAGGAACCACGCCAGGCAGACTCCATGGAGTCAGGAACCCCGGAACTCTCATCTTATTACCCTAGTCCTAAACAGCTTCCCTCCCACAAGGACGTTGTTTATAGGGAGTCATGCAGGAATTTAGATCCTGAAAGAGGCACCAGCTAAGGAAGGCAAGATGCTTACTTTGCCCACACCTAGGTGATGGGCACCGCCTGCTGCGCTGGTTGGGAAAGACCCAGCCTGTGTTCTCCAGAGGTCAGTTCCCTGCAGTTTCCCAGGACCTTCCTGACCCAGAGTAACCCCTTTCTGTCATTACCCTGCCAGCTTCTAGGTGGAAGCTGACAACAGGTAGCTGGCTGCTTGGGAATCAAGAAGGCCTGGAAATACAGGCGGAACGTTTGACCTTAGGTTTCCTTGTAGTCATAGGTGACCTGAGGTGCCTCGGTGACTTCCTGGCACTGGTCTTAGCTGACTCAGCTTTGCGTTTTCAGTACCGTGAATGCCGGCAAGGTAGCAGGCTCACTGGCTTTGCCGGACTAGAAGGGCCATCCAAACAGACTTGTACTGGGTTCAGTTGGACTATCCAGATTCTTCTCTGGTTTTCCCCAGGACAAAGTGAAAACTCTGCATACACTCTTTTAAAAAACTTTTTTAAGTTTGGTGGTGGTGGTGTGGGGGGGGGCATGCCTTTAATCCCAGCACTCAAGAGACAGAGACAGGGCGGATCTCTATGAGACCGGGTTAAGAGTGAGTTCCTGGACAGCCAGGGCTACACAATGAAAACCTGTCTTGAAAACAAAACAAACAAACGAAAATTGTGTGTGTGTGTGTATATATATATACACATATATATGTATTATATATATAATATAATTTTTAATCTTTTATTTTAATTTTTTAAATGTGTGTGAGTGT